TAAATGGAAATCCAAAAAGATCCATAGTTTTTTCCAGAATATACGGAAATTATACGGAATTTCAAAGAGTTAGAAAAAGATACGCTGGCAAGTTAGAATATACGAAAATCGTATAATTATACGCAAATCGGCAACACTGATCAGCAATGCCAAGTTCAATACGCGCATGCTTGAAGCTCAGGAGACAAAGTGGACGCTGGCACCATCTGGCACTCTAGAATCTAATTCACTATTGCTGTATACATCCGTCGCAGAGCATGCGGGTTTAATATTCAGATGTAGCAGTCAAGATAGCCATTCGGTTATGCCGAACATTGCTTCATGTGTAATGTACACAACATTCAATCGGATATCGTGACTGGAGAGACGGTTTTCCAATAAACAGACAGTTGAGTTTAGGTTTTGTTTGTGTTTTCTGGAACTTAAAAAACAAAACCAAACTAAGGCTAACCTAAAACTCTTGTTTCCATCAAACGGGATACATTTTTTTCCAGTTTTGTTTTTGTTTTCTGTTCTTTTTCACTGATTGTCGCGAGGAAGTCAGAACACATTTTTTCAATATTTTATTTATATTTGTATATTTATTTTTTAAGATAGGTTCAAACTGAAAATACATATAAAAGTAGTTTAAGAGATGTATGTGACATCATAAAAACCCAAAAAGTACAATATTTGGACATAACTTGGTCTGGCTCTAACACACAGATATATATTCTATTATTAAATATACTTATATAATATATCCACCGTTTCAAAATAAATTGCTTATTTATAAATAAGTTATTTCCTTATACGAATTTGATACAACATTTAGACTACACAACACGAGTGTTTCCAGTAAACAGACTCGAGTTTCAAAACACGTCGAAACCTTTTGATGTTACCGCTTTCGAGTGGGACTCAACAAACAAAACTCCAACTGTCGTAAAACACGCCAGTGTTTAATAAGTTTGCGAAAAGTTGAAGTTCTGTTCTTTTCGACACGAGTTTGTGTTTTGTCCGTTTAGTAGAAAACCGCCATAACATAAAATCTGAAATATCGAATTAAGAAACTTTCTAAACACTCACCAATATCATTAAGGTACTTTGTGTTAGATTGTAAAATTTTATTCAATCAAATAAATTAATATTGGAGAGTGTTTAAAAAGTTTTTTAATGCCGAAATTGATTTTTTTTTACTTCAATTACATTTAACCTTTTGAATGATAATTTAATTTCAGATAATTTTTTTATTTTGTTATTAAAAAATAAGGGTAGGTACTTTTCCCCTACGCCATCACAGCATTTGTTAAGTTTTTATGCTTCCTATACCTACATAGGAAGCTAAATATTTTAACGTGCATCTTGTTTTTTTTTTAAGAAGCAGAAGCGTTTGGCAAAAAATAATTTGGTCCATTTGTCCTATTCATCCATCCATCCGTGGATATACTGTATAACACTCTTGTTATTTTTATGCTATATTTAATGTGGAGAAGAACCTAATGTAAAAATAATTTAGTCAGATGAGATATGATATTTATTGAAAATTACCATAAATGAATATAATTTTTTGACTTTGTTGGATTCCAAACCACGATTGCTCTTTACACATAGATTTAATGAATCTGGTGCTCTCAAACTGCTTTTTTTGCTGTTAAAAATGTGTTTTCTCAGATTTTAGTTTTTCGGCTAGCAACGGCTGTTGGCTAAACGCCTCTTCACCTCTTCTTATAGCCAATTATCACATATCTAAGTGATAAGTGCTTTCCTCTAAAAGACGAAATTTAATTATCGCAAATATAACTCAATCTCTTCTCAGACTTCTTAAAAATATATGTAACAGTTAAACTCCGATTATGCTATCTTACCTATTACATCTGAATATGCGTTCGCGTTACATCCCCTATTTACCAGCAATGTTTCTACATACTATTAAGGCTTTCTTATTTACTACTTCCTTCTCATTGTCCACGACCCACTTTAACCGATTGCTGCTGCATATGTGTTTGGTCACTACAGCGGCCTCTCTTAAATGCCTGATTACCTTAGTTGTATCCCTTATTAGAACTCCTTCCTCTTCACTCTTCGTGAAGCTTACATTTAGTTTCTTTAGAGCCATAACTGTGTCCACTCTCCCTTTTGCCAGGGCCCTGTGCAGTCTTACTTCCGCAGGTGTAGAGTTACCGTAGGATTACCTGAAGCTGTTGCAGTTAGCTTTCCTGACTTTTTTGTTGTAGGTGGTAAATGCCTTGGCGTAGCTTTGTCAATTTTCGCTGTGCTTGGGCCCTGTCATAGAGTTTCCGCACTTCGGGTCGTATGTTTGAGAGATAGCTTGATCCATAAGCCTCAAGTATTGCCTCATTTAATTCTTTGAGATCTCTTTCCAGAGCAAGTGGGTGTCTTTTTAGCCTGGATGAGTGATTTGTCCCAATCGTTTTTATAGGATTTCTCCTGAAGATCGTCTCAAGCGTGTTACTTTCTAACTTCAACACGATTATCCTGTGATCAAATAGAGATGGTACAATACTATTTAGTTAGTTATTAGATCTTTTTTGCTCAGTGATATTTAATATCTTTCTCTTGTTACAAATGTGGGCGTATTCCAAATGTTGTGCACAGTAAGGTTCCTATTAAAAATATATTCTAAAATTTTCTCACCTCTTTGATTGGTGTCTTTGCTTCCCCATGTAATACTGTACGCTTTGGCGTTGCATCCAATAGGTGATGGCAGATTTCTTCTCTGATAGTACTCAACTAGCTTCGATACTTCTGGGGATGGTACAGGTCCATTTAAGACAAGAACATTTAATATGATTTCTTACCATGATACATGTTCTGGGTACTTTATCACTAGTGTGATAAATTACCTTTGCATCTTTACATAAAAGTCCTCTTAGCTGGTTTACGTAGGCACACAGTTCCTGGATCAGTACGAACCCTAATTATTCTTTAGTGAATGTCTTGGAAATCCTTCATGTGATGGACATTCACTTGGGCGATGTCAGTACTCACCTTCTTTTCTCCATCAATGAAGGTGTCGTCCCCATCTCCTCTTCTACTTCTTCATATCTATGTCTGCATCTTCAGATGAATCTACGTAGATAGTTAAGAGTCTAAGGCTCTCGATGCTCTCTATAATATTCTCATCTTTGGAAGTACTAGTAGTTGCTTCTGTGTGTCCGGTTCCTTTACTTGAAGGCCTTGTACGGGAATTTTCCCGAATCGATTATGGATAGTGTATCCATTATCTTTGATAGGTACTTAATTCCTAACATAAGGATCGGGCCTTATACGTTATACCTTATACATGTATAATCACGTCGAACAAAATCACAATTCATTTTTTGGAAATCCCTAATTTCACTTACGAAATTATGAAAAATACACCCTCACATCGCCAAAGTGAAAACACACCAAAAAACAAAATTTAAAAGGCTGTGAAATAAAAAAATCTGATGTGTCCAACATATGACTTTCCTATCTAGTTATTACAAGCTTTTTCCGGTTATTTTGTACAACCTATTGCAGCACCTCTATACATGTTTAGAGGAGGATAAACTAAATATATAAATTTTCCACATACATCTACCTCGAAACATTTTTCTATAGATATTCATTGAAAATGAAAATACTGAAAAATATAAATTTAGCACTTTTCCTACAATTTTTCCATTACGGTCCATTTTAGAAAAATCATGAATAAACAAAAATTATAGAGATCGATAAAAATCAGAATTTTGCACATTTTGTCAAATTTCTCGAATACGGGCCATTTCAGGAAATTTTTACATGAAGCAAAAATTATAGATAATAATATTAGAAGTAACTTTTATTTGAATAATTTTTTTCTCCAAACATAAATAACAGATATATTCCATAAAATATAAAAACGGCCTCCAATAAAGTACCCCCCCAGATGTTCCGACTTTGTCCAAAATCTAATCATTTCACGTCAGGCTGAAATAAAACTTAAGTTTGAAATTTAATTCATCGCAAAAATAGTCAAAACGGATTCAGGGGACCTCAAAACGTAAAAATCCGTCGAAAACTCGAGGTCGAAAAAAATCATGATTCCTATACTTTCCTTATATCTGTATACAGATAGGAAAGTAAAAACAGAAACAATGAAGGCATCGACAAGGGATGGAACTTGAAACCTTCTGATTAGAGTCGTCGGCACCTCTACTAATTGGGCCATTAAAGCACACAGTCAAATTTGTAGAATTTGTCGGCATACGTTCAGCATACGTTCTTCTCCCCTCCCAGCTCTATAAATTCTTTTTTTTTCCATTTATGGCCTAGGTGTATATACCTAATATGCCAGTCTCAAGTTTGTGTTTTAAATTCTCAATCATGTGTGTTCTGTGTAGGTTTTGTTACTGTTTCCCAGCGCCATTTCAGTAACAGCACTGTTAATTAGAACTCAACAGTGAATGGTCGAGTGGGGAATCCTACCAAGGCATCAGAATTAATTTTAAATAATAAAATTAAATAAAAAAATCCCGGCCAACGGTTGGATTCGAACCTGGGACCCCTGAATCCACAGGCAGAGACTCTACCACTGAGCCACCCACCCCCTTTGTCTATAAATTCTGATTAGAAGAGAAAATCATAATTGTTGCACTTACATTTAATTTAATTAATAAAATTTATTAATATATTTAATGTAAATGTGGTATAAATATTGTTATATAACTATTTTTTATAGAGATTTATAATAATACATTACCAATGTCCGTATATACATATTTGGGAAATGTGTAGTGAAAGTTAGTTAAGTGACTTAATAGCTTGTAATTTTGTTAAATGTTTTCAAAATTGCTGCATTCATTCTTACAGATACACCTAATAAATTAGATTTTAATTGGGAAAAAGAAAAAACAATAAAATTGTTCATATTTTAAAACGCTTTAATAGTATTTATTAAAATTTTTTTTCGCCGTATTAAAATCGTCAAAAACGAATAATTTAATTGTGGTTGAGGTCTACGATTTTTTTTCTAAATTGATGTATTTTTTTAGAAGAAGTTTTTAAACAATTACGCCTGTGGAGCAAGGAACATGGTCCTGTTTATATTGTTTCAGTGACTTATCTTTTTCCTGGCGTTAACATAGCTGAAGCAGAAGCGTTTGAGGTAATTAATTATTTTTCCACAATATGGTATTCTGTTTTTCCGATTTTTATATTGTAATATTTTTTCTTAATTTATCGTTTTAGAAAGTAGCAGGCACTATAAAAAATATAAAAAAGGCTCCCGTATACAATTTCTTAAAATTGTGGCTGGGACAAGGACTGTTAAGAAGTACAGGTTAAAAAATAAATTAAATTTTAAGAACGTTTCACATTTAATAATAATATACTATTTAATTTTAGGTGATAAATGGCATACCAGACGAAAAATACTTACTCCAGCTTTCCATTTTTCCATTTTACAACAGTTCGTGACTATTTTCAATACCCAAACAAACCGATTTGTAAATGTCTTGAAACAAGAAACGGATAAAGAATGGACCAATGTTGTGCCTCTTGTTTCCCAATTTACCCTTTGCACTATTTCAGGTAAGAAATACAAGATTTTAGTAGAAAGCCAACCCTGGTAAATCCTAAAATGTCTAATTATCACGATGTTGTTGAAATTGATGTAGATATTAAAATAAATTATTATTTATGTTCTCCTAGATTGTGCAAAAATATTAATTTGAAAAAGCAGGAATACCCGGTCAAGTCAGGGCCGATACTAGGGTGTTGGCCGGTCGCATGCAAAGACCTAATGTGCCGCCGCTCTAGATTTAAAGAGTACTTGTGTAACGAATAGTTACTATTATACTGAGCTGAGAACCAACCTCTGTCTTTGATAGTAAGTTGTTTTGAACGCTATTTAGGTCTGATTATGCTGAAGCAATGGGGCTGCAGCTGAAATGCCGGCAGCGCCGGCCGCGCTGGCCGTGCTATGGAGGGTTTCAGTATCACCACATTTTAGACGGATTTGGGTGATTGCATGGGGGTTACGGAGGGTGTAAAAATTAAAAAAGTAAAACACCTAGCAACTGATTATCTAGCATGTTTAACTTTCGCTTTTGTTATCAAAATGGAGTATAGGAAAGAATGAAAAAATCATTTAATAATTTTAGAATAATTTTATTGTACATGAAAGTTTTTTCACAAAAAAATAAAGAGAACATCATGATTGCAGAACGTTGTCCAACTTTTCACAAGATGTGGCTTAAAGGTGTCATAAAACTATATAAAATGCTCAGCAATACGTATATTTTATAAGATCATACACTGGATGTAACAAAAAGACTTACAGTAAATGAAACCACAATTTCCTGGGTTGAAAATAAGTCGATTTAAGCTAGCTTACTTTTAAAAAAAATGGATAGTAAAAAAGTTACAGGGTGTTACGGTAGAAATTTTAGAAATTATTTTTTGTTCATACTTTAAAACGGTATAAAATATTTTTATGAAAATGTACATGGAGTGTTAGAATACAGTAACCAATAAAATGAAGCTAGTGGCATTTAAAATGGTGTTAATTTTATAGATTTTTTAGAAGGGTTCCGCACTCCATGAGGTGGTCACTCTTTCTTAGACAATTAAATTTTGTTAAAAACGGGACGCCACTGAAATCATAAATCTATTTAGATTTTTTTTTTATCTCATACTCACAATTAAATTTTTCTCTTTATCTCAAGCCACTGAATATTTATTTACGATTTTTACTATTTTACAACTTCATAGATTATTGATATTACAAGGAAATAATTATTGCAAAAAGTTTAAAAATAGTAGAGAAAAATCGTGAACAAATATTATTCTTTAAGTTATGCCCATAGATTGGTTTAAGAGGAAACCGGCCCTCTCGTGAAAGCAAAAATATTTTAAGGATTTTCTAACATAAAATTGTATTTATATGCGTGCCATTGGAAATACTTCGTGATATTATGTGTCTTGACAATATTGGCAGCTTTAAATTTGTGCAACGATAAGGCAGCACTTTTACAGCGACGTTTAAGAAAAAAAGGTCCATTTAAAAACTACTAGATATTTATTAAAACAAAAAGCAGTAAATTTTTATAGATTTAATACAGAATGGCGCGTAAATGGTTTTTTAAAAATTGTTTTTAAAATTGTTCAAAATAAATACTTTGCGAAGGTTTACAAAAATTCAAGGTTTCTCCACTTTAAGTTTCATTATTATTGGTATTTCCTGAAATTTTCTCAAAAATCGGACTAAAAATAAAGGCTCACAATGAATTATAAATTTTCGAGGTGTTTGCTTTGCTCTTAAGAGACATGCGTAGAAAAATAGTCAACAAAAGGGAATTGATAAATTTTCAAATAAAGAATTGGTGCATTCTTTTTTAGACATTATAAATTCTTGTCATTTTTAATATATAATCTATTTAAATAACACTCTGTATTATAATACTGTTGTTGAATAACTTTTGAAGATTATTCTACTAAAAACTCCAATTAATGACCTAATTACGCGCCGACTATGCTTATTTTTTCTTTTTAGATACATCAATGGGCACTCCATTAAATTTAGAATCAGAAAACGATAAAAATTACGTATCAGCCATTTACCAAGTCGGTAAGATAGTTTATTACAGACTTACCAGGCCATGGACGTACTGTAATACCTTGTTCTACAAATTCTTCCCGACCGGTTACAAAGAGAAAGAGTTAGTGAAAACTTTACATGATTTTACCGACAACATTATCGCGAAAAGGATGGAATATTTCGAGAAATTCGAGGTGTCTGAGGATGACAGTTATAATTATTCAAAAAGTAAAAAAATGGCGTTCTTGGATTTGCTTATTAACGCCAAATTGACCGATGGTAGTATTGATGATCAAGGAATTAAAGACGAAGTAAACACTTTCTTGTTTGAGGTAATTTGAGAGGATCAGCTTTATTTGTTATTTATTAATTTAATGTTTTTACTTTTTAGGGTCATGATACGATAGCAACATCACTGGGATTTATTTTAATGCTATTAGCCAACCACAGAAATTACCAGGTAAGTTACAAATACGAGATATCTTTAAAAATTAATGAGAATGCAGTCTATTCATAACTAGATTTATCGTTGTACTAAGTAAATTATTAAGGCAGTTAAGGGCGGGATAGGCAAGGCAACAGCAAAGGTATCTGTAACGTGTGGAGGGTCGGTTATTCCACAAAACTTACGCCTTATTAGGCCCATTGTGCATCTACTAAGATGATAGGCACCTCCTAGCTCGCGAGCCAACCTACAGATTTAATGTAGTTGACAATGTCGCCAAGAGGTGCTTCTCTTATATCGGCCAGTGTTAGCCGAAACTCGCCGCACCCACTGCAGAGCGCGTATTCTGATAGCCCCATGATATGGCTTTCGTACTTAGCAATGACTAGTCGGAATATATGTGATCAGGCGCACATTCTATCTAGTCATAGTCAATATTTTGCTGTATTGTTGTCAGGATAACTTTAAAGCTCCGTGGAAAGTCTGCAGTTTCTTGTTTCATTCCATCTTTCCTTGAATTTTACAACAGAATGTCCTTTAATTAGATTTGTGACTACCAATATTGTTAGTCCAATAGAAGGGCCAGGTTCAAAAAGTATTTGGTTGGCTGCCTTCTTGGCATCTTCCAATGTGGCGTGACCTTCGATCCATCTTAAGTTAATGGATACTTCGTTCAAAGCTTTAAAACACTATAGTACTAACCCTGAGTACATTTGTGGCCTGTCCAGGGCGAAGAGTGCTTGTCTGCTATCTGCATAGATAAGCATGTTCTTTTCTGTAATATTATTTCTGGCGATGTCTTTTGCTGCTATGAGAACCTTCGTGAGCTCGGTTTGAATTATACTGGCACTTCTGCTCACAGCCCATTTTATGTTTAGGTTTAAGTATCTGGAATATATTCCAAATCCTGACCCTTGTTTTGTTTCAGAACCATTGGTGTAGATATAAATCTTACCTGATATTTCCAGCTTTTCTATTTGTTCTGCGACAGACTTCTGGCTTCACCTGCTGTGAAGTAGGAAATCTGTATGGCTCTGAGTTAGTGAAATCAGAATAAGGGTTGCCCAGGCGCCAGTTTTGTTAAAGCAGTTTGCTTTGCAACCCTGTAGTATACCAGAGTATACTCAAGACAGGCTCAGTTGAGTTAAAAATACCTGCAGGCGGTCACCGCTAATGGGGTAGCCACTAAATTATAATAAAAGAAACTATTCTACCTCACACCTTGTACCTTACGGTACCCTGAAATAAAACGGTTAGGATCCAGTAATAAAAGAAAAGAGACACAGGAATTATTAAGAAAGTATATTTACAAAAATAAAATAAAAACACTGTAAAAACTCGGAGTACAGTGTTCGGTATCTCCGACACTCGTGTTATATAAGAAAATGAAGTTCCACTTAAAAATGTTTTAAATGGTTTAAAAACTAATGTTAAACAATAAAAAGAAAATATGAAATAACTTAAACGGCAATATCGGTACCCACGGTATATTAGAAAATAACTTTTCTATCAAATAAATTGATTAAATACAATGGTTAGACAATAAAAAGAAAATAATGTATATGAAATATTTAAAACGGCAATACAGCACTCCCTGTGTATTATAAAATGACTTTCCTAACAAAAAAGTCGTTTAAATACAATAGTTAACAATAAAAGTAAATAATGTGTACGGAATAATTAAAACAACAATTACTGCACTCCCTGTACCATAAAAAATAAATTTTCCTAACAAATAAATCGTTTAAATACAATAGTTAACGATACAATAATCTGCATGGAATAATTAAAAAGGCAATTACTGCACTCCCTGTATAATAGGAAATACATTTTTCCTCGAGAATTACTTTATTAAATCAAAAGAAATAAATCAGACAATTATTACAGTACTCCCTGTATGATAAGAAATGAATTTACAATTAACTAATGGTTTTAAACACAACGGTCGATCTATAATAATTTTAAAATCAAAAGTAACAATCAAACGATAATTACGGTACTCCCTGTGTAATAGAAAATAAATTTTCCCTCTAGAATTATTTTATTAAATCAAAAGAAATAAATCAAACAATTGTTACAGTACTACCTGTATGATAGGAAATTAATTTACAATTAACTAATGGTTTTAAACACAACAGTCCATCTATAATAATTTTAAAATCGAAAGTAACAATCAAACGGTAATTACGGTACTCCCTGTATAATCGAATATAAATTTTTCCCTAAGAATTATTTTATTAAATCAAAAGAAGTAAATCAAACGATTATTACGGTATTGCGCGCTCGTTGAACGAATTTTCTTGTTCGAAGTCTCTCTGGGAGATTCTCAGTTAGTTCGATTTTGGGAAATTCGAAAAGATTATTTAACGATAACTTTTAATACAATTGTGAGCAATATGTACTAGGTAAATTACGGTTTGGTGAAGTTCCTTTGTCGGATTCTAACTGGTAGATCCTCGACTTTGGGAGATTCGACAAAATTATTTCACGATAATTTTTAATAACTTAAGTACTAGCTGAATTAAAGACGAGCGGGGGAAAATCAAAGAAAGTTAAATTTTAATTGGAAATAAAAAACCTACCTCGGAATTAAGTACCGTTGCGAATGCAAAAACACGGTTCAGGTTTAGCGCAACTTTCACTCGGTCACTACGATCTTGTTCAGCGGGAGTAGCACAAGAAGCGACGGATAACAGGAACCAAAGAAAACGAATTTTCCTTGCCATCTCCCATTTTTGCCTCACGAGCAGACGAGTTTGGCTTCCGAGCAATTCCGGAGTGGGAAAAACCACCTCCAGTACCAATGTTTACTAGCAGAGGAAATAAAAAAGCCCTTTTAACACCTGCCGAATATACCTAGGTAATTTACATGAAATTGAATGTTCAAATCCGAATTTGAATTTCGGTAAATACGGAGAAATTTTAAACTACGAGGGCTCTCGCAAATGTTCAAACATGGTAATTTTAGGAAACAAAAATACCGGGGCTCTTCGAAACGTTCCCAGGCTGAAATTCATTATTATATACATTTTTATAATTAATTTAAAATAAAATTTAGTGACTTCGTCTTAGTTCATTATAACTTTATGTGATTTATGGAAGATATATCTCGGTGAGATGGAGTCCATGTTCACTTGTAGGCGCGTGGGAGCGTTTCGAGCGCCACTTACCAAAAGCGACGTCTTGCCTCACCAGATCATACATTAGGTTCTTTTCCAACAGTGCAAAGGCATGTCATTGTCATTAGAGCTACTTCCTTGAACTAAATATCAAAAGATGCGACACTAAGAATTACTTCCATGACTCTCGTTAGTGTGGTTTTCATGGCTCCTATTATGTTGATACATGCTGTTCTTGTTTGAAAATTGCTGTCAATTTTTGGGTTTTCGGTACGCAGACAATTGCACCGTATGTTAACCATAGGTGTTATGATGGACGTGTAAGTACATGTGACGACTCTGCGGGAGAAATACGAATTAAAACTCGAAAGTTATACTTTATAATGTGTCAAGACTTTTTTGTTTATAATTCGGTATTATGTTTTTCAGATATTCTTTTCGATTAAAAAAAATGTTTTTAACAACCAGTATTACGTGTATTGACTCACCATCCTGTCTAGAAAAGAACTTGATCAGGGCCGGATTATCCAATAGGCTAGATAGGCTATAGCCTAAGGACCCTCGACTTGCGGGGGCCCTCGACTTGCGGGGGCCCTTTACTCTCAAATAAAAAAAAGTAAAACGGTATACAACATCTATTTACTATAATACGTTGACCATGATGTAATAATAAAAAATAAAATAATAATAATAATTATCTACTAAATCTGGCCGCGGCACGGCACGACCCGCTAATGCTAATGTCAGTTTTTATCGCGATTTAAGATAGACCGACCGACGGACGCTACTGAACACTGCGTTCTGCATGTGCATCCCCGATTTTGACCCCTGGGGGTCGATTTTCGAGTTGTAGGAATTCGATTTCGAGGAAAATGAATTCCTATGATAATATTCCTACAGTTTTAGTTGTCGGTATTCTCGAGTACAATAGGAATCCAATTTCCTGTAGGAGTTCCAATTTCAGTATGTCGTTGATAATTTCAAGATAACGCAAAAACGAGCGAATGGAATGTATTTATTTCAGTTAAATATAAGGTTCTTTCGTTCGCTGTTGGTGCATTGTCCACCAGTTTAAATTACACCAGTTACACCACCTTATTTACCTTAGTTTACTTCCCTCCTTATTCCTTATATACATGTCGAGTGTAATTCACTCCTGCTAAATAGCTGGTGGAGAAAATATCCACCAGTGGACACCACATCACCGACAGGAAGGTGTAGTGGATTTTACACCGGGCCGAACGAAAGGTTTAGTGTACGTTGGTGTAGTTCATTCCTACACTAGTGGGACGAACGAAAGAACATATTGTTGTTTAACAGGTGGCAACAAGGCAATTTGACAATTTGTCAAAAATATTCCTACAGTTTTAGTTGTCGGTATTCTCGAGTACAATAGGAATCCAATTTCCTGTAGGAGTTCCAATTTCAGTATGTCGTTGATAATTTCAAGATAACGCAAAAACGAGCGAATGGAATGTATTTATTTCAGTTAAATATAAGGTTCTTTCGTTCGCTGTTGGTGCATTGTCCACCAGTTTAAATTACACCAGTTACACCACCTTATTTACCTTAGTTTACTTCCCTCCTTATTCCTTATATACATGTCGAGTGTAATTCACTCCTGCTAAATAGCTGGTGGAGAAAATATCCACCAGTGGACACCACATCACCGACAGGAAGGTGTAGTGGATTTTACACCGGGCCGAACGAAAGGTTTAGTGTACGTTGGTGTAGTTCATTCCTACACTAGTGGGACGAACGAAAGAACATATTGTTGTTTAACAGGTGGCAACAAGGCAATTTGACAATTTGTCAAAAATATTTGATTTTCTGGATGGTTATTTATTTTTAATATTTTTTATTAGCAGCAAAAAGAGAAAACGAAAAAGTTTCAGA